AAAGAAAAGAAAGAAAGAAAGAAAGAAAGAAGAGAGGGAGGATACTCACTGGTTTCCGGAATTCTCGTATCGTGAGCGACTAGAAGCTGGGCCGCGAGTGAGGCCCGATGACCGGAAGTACTCTCAGCTACGCACTCGTATCTGCCGCTGTCCTCAGGCTTAGCGGAGGATATCACCACTTTCGATCTCCGCCTGCACAACAGATAACGATTCATAATGATTCTGTCCATTATTGCACAACAACAGTACAGTTTGAAAAGTTGGGTATGTACACATGGTGGCACAGGGTTGTGGATGACAGGTCGCGATTTTTATCACGCGCGCGACAATATCTGCAAAAAAAATTGGAGGGGGAAGGGCGGACTAGTTCGGGGGGGGGAATGACGAGTCACGGGGCGGACGAAAAGGGATTCAGCCTTTTCCACCCGAGTCCCGGGAGAAGATTCCGCAAAGTTAGGGCAAACAGGAAGTTTTGCTCACGAGGATTCGAATACTCTTGGCTGGTAAGCTTCCGCGCGGGGGTTTAGAGCCGGGGAAATTTCTCTCTCTATCCAGGAGAAAACTCGTTTTTCCGTATGAAGAAGCGGAAACTTCTCGCGCTCCGCGAACCCCCCCCCCCTCTCGAACTTGCCCCCGAGACGCCGGCAAATTTAATAACTTTTCGAAAGCCCGCGGATTATTGCCGCCGGAATTCCCCCGTAACGCAAACATATCGATAACGATCGATACGGAGGGCCGCCCTCCCTTTATTTTACCCACCATATTTTCCCGACGCGTATCAAACTCCTTTGGGGAAACTTCTCGAAACTTTATGCACCCCCGAATCGTGCCGCTCCTCTCGGATCGAGTTACAATATTTTTTTTACAATATTTACCGCTCTTTATTCCCTTTCGAAGAAGGAAAAGAAAAGAAAAATCGACGAGGAGAAAGAAGCGTTCCGCTCGAATGTTCGAGCGAGATATACAATTTCGGAGCGAGTAGGGCAGTGTGGTGTTGCGAAGTACCAGCACAGTAAGTGGAAAAAAATATGGCACAATAAGGGAGGAGGAGGAGGAGGAGGGGGCAAGGTCGAATTTGTCAACGAAGCACGGCACTTTGGACGACGAGGTAAAACGTGAGCTCGCTTCCGGGAGCTACGGAATTCTCCGCAAATTGGAACCGATTCAACCGGCTTTAAGATGACCCCTTCCCTTGCCACTTGTCGGGGAGAGTTTCTCGATGGCCTTGTATTACGCCGCAATCCGCCGAGTCCACGTAGCGAGACCTTCGGGGGTTAACGGAGCGCAGAGAAGGGAAACTCGATCGTAAATCCACGCTCGGTTCCAATCCTCCCTCCTCCCGAGGGATCTTGGACCTTGGACTTTGACTGCCGAGATCGCTCCATGTTTCTCTCTCTCTCTCTCTCTACGAGACTCTTCTCTCACTGAATGCGTGGGACATGGATGGATGGATGGTGACAACGGTGACACGCCGGCTCGAGCTTTTTGCCGGTTAATTGACGCGCGGCCGTAATCCTTGGTCGATCGAAAGCCGCGACACGGCTTAGAGGAGCTGTCATTTCGAATCGGTTTTCGAAGCTTGGCCGGCGCAATTTTGAAACCGAGATAGGATAAAACGGATAGCGCCACACTTTCGACTAATTCCGCCGTTTCAACCGCGCGGCCGATGATTAACGAAACGCGAGTGCGAATCGCGATCGGATCGCAATTTCGGTGCCCGCCGCGCCGTGAATATCCCCCCTCCAGTGAGAATAATCCCTTAATCGCAACCTAGATCGATGTTTTCTCTGCCCTTGTTTCGTCTGCCCGCTCTGTTATTAATTTCCCAACGTTGTGTCCCCGTAACGTTGCCGCCGATCTCGATCCTCGAGGCTTAGCCTCGCCTCGTTAAATTTCACCGAGAACGTCCCTTCCCTTCCTTCTCCTGTATCGCGTTCCCCTACTCGTGCGACATTTTCGAAGGAGGAGGAAGAGGAACGGAAGCGGACTTTTTGTTTCGACTTGGTCGAAGAAAAGAATCGAAGGGAGGATGGATCGGAAGAGAGAGAGATAATTGCCCTCTCGACTCGGAACGGAACGGCATGGAGAAGCACAATTCTTCTTCAACTTCGACCTTCGCTTCCCGCCCCCCCCCCCTCCATCTCATCGCCGTGTTTACGCGTAAACGCATGCAGGAAGAGGCCGATATCCCCGCTCGACGCGATTGTTTCAAGAGGAGTGCCGAGAATTCGAAGCTCTTTCCTCGAAATCGCGCACGCACGATGGAAAAGATGAAATCGTCTTCCTTCCGATCGAGATCTTTCGTTCGACTCGAGATTGGAATCGTTTCGCGAAACATCCATTTCGCGTCGTCCGCTATTTCGTTTCGAGAAAGAATCCCGGGAGACGAGATTTTCAGTGGCTTTAGAGGTGTCGACCTCCTCTCTCTCTCTTCTTTCTCTCTCTCTCTCTCCCGCCACCGAAAAGTGTCCGACAGACGGAGTCGCCGTGCAACAGCAGCGAGAGGGAGGAAGCGGCGAAAATATTTGCGCGAGTCGAGAGCTAAGAGCCCCCACGGCTTGCGTGTCGTCTGTTCATCCCCTTTAAGCGATTTCACATGCGCGCGCGAGAGAGAGAGAGAGAGAGATACACCGAGAGAAAGAGCGTTGGAAGCGTTGGGAGAAAGAGACGGATAGGACGGAGGAAAAAGAGGGAAAAAGAGAGAGGAGGGGCGCAGAGAGGCGCGATGGATCCAGCAGGGAAGGTTTCTAATTTGGTGCCGCGGCAAAAATCGACACTCCGTCTAGACTACCGCCACTCTCCGGTTTAGTAGGCGCGTATATATGCCAGGCCTCTCCGCGAAACAGAGAGAAAGAAGAGAGAGAGAGAGAGAGAGGAGAAGAAGAAGAAGAAGGTTCCAGGAGTGTTGGAAGCCGACCGAGGGGGAGGAGGAAGGAGAGCGAAGGAGCGAGAAATATATAGAGGAGAGGAGAGGGGTCGGACGGATGAAAGAGAGCCGGAGAGAGATAAACCGAGATTTCTATTTATGTATTCCACCTCGTTCATGACTCCGGCCCGTCTTTCGCGCTCTCCTTTCATCTCGTTACGTTTTTGCGGCCGGTTAGCCCGCCCTCCCCTCCTCCCTGCCACGCAGCCCTCCGCGAGAACCTTTTCACCAAGAATCGTGGAAACGATCCGCCGCGACTTTTTCCCTTTTTCTTTCAATCGATCGATTCGTCGCGGATCCAGTCGTTTCTTTCCCACTTCGCGCTACCATTTTCCAGTTTTAAGAAATCGAACACTTTTTTAGAACAGTTTCAGAGTCAAAGAGAGATGGATAAGTTGCTTCGTTCGAGAAAGGTATCCGACTCTCGCTTTTGCTAACACGTCCATTCCTATTCGAAATGAAGAGGATTTGAGGGAAGAAGCATGCGAGGAGGATCTTTCGGAGGGTATTCCGTAGATTAGTACAACTCGGTTGCTCAAGAACCGGGTTTCACGATCGAATCTCGCCCGTAACTTTCCCTTAACGCGTTTCAATAACGCGCGGACTTGCCGACCCACAATAATCGCTGTATCGGTGTGTGCTTCCTCTACTTTGCGAGGTATCAACCGCGCGCTACGAAGCCTGGCTTCATGCTTTTCCCCCATCATATTTTGACCGCGCAACGACCGAGATCCGATTCACCGTCCCTCGCTCCATAAATCTTTCTCAACGCAATAACGCTCGTCCGATCATTCGGTTCGACCCACCACGTACACGCCTCCGATCTTCGTTACCTTCGTGTTCGAGACGAGAGCCACGTCCGGGAGAATCGCTTCGCTCTATTTTATTTTTTCTTTTCTTTTTCTTCTTTTTTCATCGTCCAAGGTGAATTTCATCCGTGCTTGGAAAATTCACGGCGAGTTTCAGGTGATTCGGGACTGGAAATCGGGGAGGAAGGAGCGCGTCTTCAACATCGCGATTATTAACATCTGGATCCACGGAGAGATCCGTTCCTGCCGACCATCGGTGCCGACCGACTTTCGTTTTATTAATATCCCGGGATTTAAATCGTCCTATCCCGCGATTAATACGAATTACACGAGCTGCAAGCTTATTTCGTGCCCACTGTCACAGATAATTATTGCGCGGCGCCCGTAGTTGGGCTTTTAATTTCGGCTCCCGTAGAATTTCGCCGGGATCGCACAATTGAAAACGAGAAGCGTGGCGGGGAACCGGTGGTTTAATTACCCGGAAGCGGAAACTGATAGTTTCAAAAGCGTTTTAAAGTCAATTAGCACGTATGATATTTCCCAAAAGGGACCAGAGTGCGTACCCTCCCCTCCCTCCCCCCTCATATTTCGGATTAATTCTCGAATAATCTTTGACGAGTTCTCGCCTCTCGAGGCAGCTACTACAACGTTACTCGTGTTACGTATACGCGGGTTAATTCGTCCCCTCCGATTTTCCCCCTTCCGTCTTCCTTTCCTCTCCTTTCTTTTCGTTCTTCTTCTTCTTCTTCTTCTTCCTTCTGCGTCCACTCCTCGTGTTCGTGGCCCCCGAGGGGGCGAGCAGAAACGCGATATCTGGTTGGGGAGAGAAGGAAAGGGAGGGCGAGAAAAATTTGCGAGGAGTAAAAATCCTGCTCACCTGGCCATTCCCGCGAATAAGAATGGCGCGTACCCTGGGATTTTTACACACGCTCTCCACTTTTTTCTCCCTCCCTTTCTCCCCTTCTTATCTCTCCTCGTTCCCTTCTCGATCGTTCGAGAAAAGAGCGGTTCGTAAGAAAAGAGGGGATTTTTCAAAACGGGAGGAGGGGAAAAACGAACGATATATTCCCGAGATATATATTCAAAAGGGACGACGAGCTTATAATTCTCTCGATTCTCGGCTCTGCGACACGATTCGACGCGAAGAAACGTTCGATCCCTGTGCACGGAGACGGCCGCCTGATCCGATTGACCAACGTTGCAGAATGCAGGCTCTCTAATGGCGGACGTCGCTGCGAGCGAGAGGACCCAGTTCTACCAGCTACTCGTAATGGAAACGGCGTGTCGTGAAAAGGAGATACACGCGGGGAGGGGGAGGGAAAGCAGGGTGGTTTCTTCGCTATTCCCGCACCCTCTGTTTTTCTTCCATCCCGGTTAATGGTTTTCTTTTGGGAGGCGGGTGGCTCGCCGCCGCTTCGTTTCGAGGCCATTCGGCCTGCTCTCTTCTCTGCTCGTTC